TTTTGTTAATTATATATTCATGCTTGGATCACAGAAGATTACATTTATTATTGTTTTATATTGAAATTATAGGAGTATAAACTTTTTGTCAGATGTGCGTTAACATGTTTCTTTATTCTTTTATTGTTAATTGAATTTGTATGCCTTTACTGTATTAGTTGATTTTTCTGTATCTAGTTATGGTCTGGGATGATTTGAAGAAGAAACCTGTTATTGAATTAGACTTTTCCACAGAAGTAAAAGCAGTCAGGTTAAGAAGAGATAGGTAAGTTTTAATGGAAACCTGTTATTGAATTAGACTTTTCCACAGAAGTAAAAGCAGTCAGGTTAAGAAGAGATAGGTAAGTTTTAATGGAGGTTTGCAACTTCAATCTTGCATGTTTTTTACACTACAAAAAAGTTTCCAATCAAGTAACAAAAGCTTTAGTTATGAATCATTAATCAGTATTAATGATCAAACTGTATGTTTTGATTTAGTTTGAATTTGTATTAATATTGTTCTGTTGTGGTTTCATTACTATGTTAACTAACCTAATGTTTCAAGAATTTTTTTTTCAGAATCGTAGTTGTCTTAGAGTCAATTATCAAAGTCTACACATTTACCCAGAATCCTCAGCAGCTTCACGTCTTTGAGACTTGCAGTAATCCAAAAGGTAAAGTGTGAATGTGACCTACATTTGTATTTTAGGTCAGCTCACATTAACAAAATTTACCAATGATGTGGCCAAGATTTGCATAGGGGAATCTCCAATGAGTAGTCATGTGAGAAATGAGATAAAAATGGGTTGTAATGGCTTGCCTTACAATTCTAGAGTCTTAGCTTCAGATCAGGCAAATGCAAAGATTGTTCTCTGAAAACTAAATACAACTCATAACTTTATTTATAGAATATCACTTAAAATTTAGTTTTTCTTAAACATGTTGACTGCCAAGCCCCTTTTCCTAGTTTCATCCCATGCACCAAGGCATAAAGGGCGCCACTATAATGAAAACCACTATCAACTGTAACAAAACACAAAGAAATATACAGTATTCCCTTAACCTCCAGGACGAGAGTTCACGTTCTGGTGACCACTGCCTGCAAGTTTACGTGCAGTACAATATTGGTATGTTTAGACGCACCGTGAGTGAACCCTGTCTGATGTGAACTCGTATCCCTGCCTGCGCTTATATTAACTAGTAAATTTTTTTTTTCTTGCAGGTCTTTGTGTTCTGTGTCCAAGTAGTAATAACTCTCTGTTAGCTTTTCCTGGTCGTAAAACCGGTCATGTACAGGTGGTCGATCTGGCCAATACTGATAAACCGCCCACAGATATGGCCGCCCATGAAGGTCCGCTCTCCTGCATAGCACTTAACCTGCAAGGCAGCAGGCTGGCCACAGCATCAGTGAAGGTAAAATCTGTCAGATTTTAGCTATACTTAAGTGATATTCTCTGATCAGATTTTTTATACTACTGTATAATTCTTTCAAACATGTCTGATTAATCAAAATATGTATCCATAACTGTGAAGTCAGATTTAAGAAATTTGTATATTTTTAAATTTCTTTGTGTAATGTACTGGTACTATTATAGCTGGCTTGGTTTATAGGACCATGTCACACAATGATTACATGGCAGTCAACATTAGCACCGCAAGGGTGTTACATTGTATAGGTGCTATAAATCAAGACATTATTATTAATATTAATATTTTACTTGATAAAGTTAGTTGTGACGTCATCACTTTGATTTTCACATAATTTTCCTATCCATGAACAATCACTAATGTGATGATATAGTGCCTCTGATTTTTTGCATCTTGTGTGCAAATAGCTCAATGAAAACTGGGATTTTGATGAATATTTTGTTGATAGCCAAGCTCTGAACGCATATAGCGGCCTAACAAATCTCGCTCAACGGCGCCGGTTCACAAAATAATGGCTCCTTCTCCCTCTGTTTTCTATTGGGTCCTCAGAACTTGACTGTAATTGCATAATATTACAATATTATTGTTATTATTACTATCATTATTGTCAGTTACATTGAATGACATATGATATGCAGTGTATAATCATGACAGTTGGGTGTCAATACACATTTGAATGTCATTTTTGTATTATTGTGTAGGGAACACTTATTCGTATGTTTGACTCTAGCAATGGGACATTGCTGCAAGAATTCAGGAGGGGCTCAGGTAGTGCAAATATTTTCTGGTAAGTTTAATTAATAAAAATTATCCATATTTAAGGCAATAATAATATTTTTTTTATCTAATGCCTTGTTTTTACTGCATGTATTTCACAAAAGGTGTCTTAAAACATTTAATAGACATAACTGTATCCTATAAATGCTATGAAATGAAAGTCACATTGGGCAAACAGTTTAAAAGAAAGAATGTGATTGGTTGAATATAATGCCTCTTTTAATTATTCATTAATGATGATTATTATTATTCCTTTAGTTATTGTTCATGTAGTACCTTATATTGTCCATGGTATCAATAGAAATTAATTATGAACTTCAAACAAAGATAAATATAAGTTTGTCTTGATCTACAAGTTTGGCGCAGCGGTTGAGGTTTGGGCTTTCAATCGTAAGGTCGGGGTTTCGAGTCTCCGCTGTGCAGATTCGCTTGTGTCCTTGGGCAAG